GCCACTTCGTTGGCTTGACACCATCTTCACCAAATCGGAACAGTCTGTGACAAAAATCATTGACAACCTATCTTCAAGTATACAATGCATTGCCCATATCAGTGCTTTTAGTTCTGAATGTAGGACTGATAAACTTCGCCTGATATTTTTTGAATCCATCAGGGTACGCGTAGATCCATATCCTTGACAAAAGCAGCCTCCCTACATTTTGAGCCGTTTCTTTCCATGACGCATCTAGTTGACAAACTAACCCATTATATGTTGTGTCTGGAATAGCTTGAACGTGTTGTGGCATAGGTGCCAATGACACCTCCACCTGAGCTGTTTCCAAAGCCTTCGCCTCTGCTATCACAAGGCGCACCACTTCCCTGGGTCCCCGAGTAATGTTAGAGAAAACTTTATCATTGCACATCTTCCAAATGTACTATAATAACCATGGATAAATTACCATATTTTCATCATCTAGTAAATGCCAGAATAAGTGTACCATATTTGAGATTAGAGCATCAGTCGAAAACCATTGTGGAGGGGTTGGGATAGGGGATAATGCCAAGACTTATAGTGCTGGCGGGCATTCAAAACGTGTATGATTAATAGTTTCCTTCGCTGCACCAAAACTGCTACATTGTGGATCACAATTAATGCCTCGAATACTAAGGTGATGCATTACCGCTAGACACCCTGGTAAAATTTGCCACAAGAAATATTTCATCTTCGGTGGACATTTCACTTTCCATGCTTGATCCTGTAATTTACACACATCTGGTCCAAAATATCGAGAACCTTCATTTTCATGTTTAAACGACTGCTCAAGAATATGTCCTGATTTGACCGTATATCTCCTTGTTTTGTAAAAGTCCAACTTAGCACATCCGGTCTATGTTCCTTGGTTGTAGGAATCCTGGCAATTAGAGATATGTCTTCGGTGACAATTAATTGTCTTATTAGTGGCATATTCCACATTGATGTTAAGGGATCAATCAGTTAATTGACCTTCAGCTCGAGATAATAATTATACTTGCGGCATGTTGCTGATCTCGGGCAAGAGGATGGAATCCATAGATCATTCCAAACAAATATAGAATATCCTGAACCAACTATTTTGATGAGCCATTTTTGTACTAGAGATCTAGCTGCTGTAATACTCTTCCACTCATACGACGAGGAATAGGATCGTATGGGGTTCAGGGGTGAACCTTTCCGGAAATAACGACCCTGAAAAAGCTTTGAAAATAGGGAATTCGGGTAATCGAGAAGCCACCATAGTTGTTTAGCAAGTAAAGATGTGTTAAAGTCCTCTATAACTCAAAAATCAAGACCACCTTCTGTTTTAGATTTACATAGTTTATGCCAAGCAAGCCAATGCATTCCTTTTTTATTTCTGATATAAGAATTGGATTCCACCAAATTTTTAGAGCACTTGAATCAAATCTTTCAATCTGTTTTAATGGGAGATTGAAGATGATGATGTAGCAAGGTTGTAGTTAATTTCATAATCACGGTTTTAGACTCTATAATTCCAAGGGATATTCCTCACAAGGACTTATAGATTCTACACAAACTTAGAAGCTTCTTGATTCCACAATAGACTTATAAATCTGCAGGAACAAGTAGATTTAAAAGAGACTTTTCTTTAGAAAACAAACAAAATTTTTCTTAATAATTTCTTGGTTTATTTTAAAATGGTATTAGTGAGCTTTTTATGGCTCTTACAAGATATGGTTGTAATAAATACATTTATAACAAAATATTTTGATGTAAATGAGGATGAACTAAGTATTGGAGGTTGACCACGCCATTAAGCTCTTTGAAGACTGAAATCTTGTGGATTAAAAAGTGACTTAGAAGGTATGCGTTATTCATGGGATGTTGGTTGACTAAAAAGAACAAATATGATAGAACTTTCCCAAAATAGAACCAACTTGACCCGTTTTGATAGATTGGGCATAGCTTGAGAACCCGGTGGGAATATCTTCGGATCTTGGGCTTTCTGGAACCAGGAGAAACCCAGTAATAATCTCCAAGTGGTCTCGGGTCTAGAAAGTTGATGAGTTGGGCTATTCAGCTCGATATCTGGCATAGTCGCGTAATTGACTCCGAAACAAGTCCACCTATTTGTAAGATTAAGAACTTCCAAGTCTGAACCGGTATTACTATTAATCCAATTGGAAAAGCTTCTCTGTTGGACCAAGATTTCATAACAATCTGGTTTTTAGCTTACTTCCTCCCAGTATGGTCGAAATCCACCATTCAATGCACATATGTCCGATTCGGCTATGCTAGAGATCACTAGTTTTATAAGCTGAATAACTTCTTTATTAGAATCGTGATTGGATTGATTCAATTTCATCGTGAATTTTTTCTGAGTGGAACAGGTTGATTTTTTGCTTAGTCCTTCTGGTTCGCTAGATATGCTCTATCAAAGGCACATGTGTCCTGGTCGGACCCTTGGCAGCTAGAGTGGCATGTTTGATAGATCTCTGGTTCAGCTGCTGGTTTGATGACCGCATCAATTTCTATAAGTGCTCCACTAGAATTTTGCAATTGTGCTTGTTAGTTGAGTCGTTATGGTCTTGGGTAACCAAAAGCAGGATATAACATATGTTGGAACTGCTGTTGCTACAGATTTAATAAAGACCTCCTTACCCCCTTTCGATGGCAGACGCAATGTCAATCCATTAACCCGTTTTTATTGCCTATCTAGAAGGAAATTAAAAACCATTGTCTTAGCCCCTCCTAGACTTTCCAGTATGCCCAAATAATTTCCCATTCCCCAATATTAGCGATCCCTAGTGCTTTGTGAACAGTTTCTCTTGTTATTGTATCCACTGTATGACCAAATTGCACCAAAGATATTGTAAAAATGATCTGTTGTCCAGTATTGCTTTAATATATTAAGTAACATAGCTGCCTCTTCATGTGTTGCCTTACAGAAAAATAAGCTATCATCTGCGAAAAACATACGAGATAGTCGTGGACTTGTCGGTGCTATCTTCATACCTGTTAGTAGTTTATCATTTTCTGCCTTCCACAGATTCACTATTAGTACCTCTATACATAGAATGAAGAGATAGAGAGATAAAAGCTCACCCTGCCTAAGTCTCCTTTTCGGTTTAATATTCCCCATTGGGTGGCCATTAATTAGAATCTGATATTGTACTGATTCAATGCACCACATCATCCATATGACCCATTTCTCTGCAAAACCCATTTTTCTTAGTAGATGCTCAATAAATGGCCATTCAACTCTGTCATAAGCTTTACTCATATCCGTTTTGACCGCCGTATAATCCTTCTTACAAAAATTATTTGTCCTGAGTCCATGAAACATCTTCTGCGCTATCAAAAAAATTACCCGAAATAAGCCTGCCTGGTCCAAAGGCTGATTGTATCTTAGAAAACAGCCTAGGTAACATTCGCCTTAGTCTTTAGCATAGAACCTTTGAAATAATTTTATATATCACATTGCACAAACTAATAGAACGTAATTCCATCATCTGTGTAGGTCGGTCTAACTTTGGTATAAGACATATATTCGTCATATTCATATTTTCGTCAAATGACCCCGATAATAGGAAGTCATTAACTATCTGTATCACCTCTATTTTTATTAAATGCCATGACTTCTGAAAAAACAGAGCAGTCATTCTATTCTCTGGATGCATCATAAAAAGAGCTGTCTTTACCTCTTCTTTTGTAGCCAATTTTGTGAGTTCCTCATTATCTCTTTCCATTATTTCTGAATGTATTTCCACCAATGCTGCGTCAAATGATGTTGGCTTTGTAGTCGTATATAGTTCAGCAAATTACTATACTGCCACTTTTTCCACTTAATCCTCCACATCGACCCAAACTACATCTTTATCATGCAAACCTACTATTCTATTAATAGTTCTCTTTTGTTTTATCAATGCGTGATAAAACTTTATATTGAGATCATCATTCTTATTCCATAAGTTTCTACTTCTTTGTTGCCAAAATTGTTCCTCATCTATGTACGCGTCTTTGAGCTTCTGTGTGATTTCGTTAAGTTATTCTTGTGTACGCATATCATCATTTTGAATATCCTCGAGTATCCCTTAAAGCTCCGTAGTTTTGTCCTTTCCGTATTTACATGCCTCCATTTTGATAATTCGTATCTACAACTTCCAATTCTGTTAACTATAGAATAAGAAGCATATGTAGTCCCATAATGCTATCCCATGCTATCGCTTCCATCAACCCCTCTTGTTCAATCCATCTTTTATCGAATCTGAATTGTCTCCTTCATTTAGATCTTTTGGCTTCTAATGTTACAACAATTCATCTATGATCTGAATCAATCATTTTTAAATATTCGATATAAGAGAAAAGAAATAAGTCATGCCATTATTCTGAGGTAAGTTCTTTTTAAAAAGAATTGCAAACTATTACATACTTTTAGCATCCGGAAAATTCATCGATGTCTATGAAAGAGTCGATATTGTTACATAAAATATTATATTTATATTGGTTAATTCTCACATTCTTTCTTATGATGATTATATCTCTTTTTCACTATTCATAAGATTATTTATGTTCTCGCATACAATATACACATACTCTATCAGAATTGAACTCGAATTATGATACAACGCTGAAGGTAATGCAAAGTTGCATACTAGTAATTTACAACTACTGATCACTGACTCCCTTTCGGGTTGCTTCCCGTGTTCATCTCTATATGAAAACTTAGATTTTCTATTTTGGAGGACTAGAGAAAGGGAGATACCCGTGCCCCAAAGAGATAATTTCCATGGATCATCTGGTACATATGGAAGGCAAGGAATGATAAAGTTTTTAATGGAAAAGTGATATCACCCGTGGATACCCTACACCATGCGATCTTCGAAGCAGAAAGTTGGCAGAAAGCAAACGAGGAAGAGATTGAAGAGGAGAGGGAGGAGAGGCTAGACCCAGACAGTACAAGTTTCCCCCCCCCCCCCCCCCCCCCCCCCCCCCCCCAAATCCCGACGTGTCAGATCGATGCCTCATGGGTTGATCTTGGACCGGTTAGCGGACTAAGGTGGCTTCTGACAGACACTCGAGGACTTATCACTACCGAACAACAAGAATGCAGAAGAAGTCTATCAGCTCTACATGCAGAACTAGATGGGCTATTTTGGGAAATGACATGCCTAACAGATATACGATTTCAGAGAGTTTGTATCGAGACGGATTGCTTGAATTTGGTTCAGATGGTCAAGGACCCATTGGATTGGCCAGCATTTGAATCGGAATTAAACTGTTTATCTTTGTTGAGAACCTTATTTGAAGAATATATTATTCGGTTTATCTTTCTAGCCAAAATATCTGTATTGATACTTCTGCTAAAATAACAAAAACTCGAAGTTTTATCTTTTTCATGTAATTTAGACTTTGTTAATAAAATCAAAATCTTTAAAAACTGAAACCATTAACAAAAATTAATTTAATATATAGTTACTTACTAAAAAAAATCACTGACCATATTCAATTCAAATCTATTAGATCGATATTTTTAATTTTTTGATTCTTTTTTTTTAATTCTTTAAAAATAGATGTTCACGACAGACAGTATTAAATATGTTATATTTTAATATAAAGTTAATATCTGCCATATTTAAATAATAAAATTGTCTTTTCACAGTACAACCTCCCGGGACTACATTAAAACCCAGAAAAACTGAATTTTTATCTGTTCTTCAGGTTCAAGAGGTCTAGAAAAAGAATTAAATTATCAAACAAAGTTTGGTTGGTTAGCTGGTCCCGCGATTTTATTTTTCTTGGAGTTCACTTGAATCCTGCGATCCATTTGCAAGATCCACCAAGAAGCACAGAACAATCTGATCTCTGTATCTATATAATGAAGAGATTCACGGTTTGTTGCCTCTCAAACCGAATCCACAAGACCAGAAATCGAAACCCAGACAAGGTTTGTCTTCTCCTTAAAACAAAATAAAGGTTGAATCTTTGTGCGATTTCCTCAAGTTTTTCTGTGATCCATTTGCTAATTTGTCTTCATTTGATCTGGGTCTGATTCTGTTTCCGTAAGAAACTAAGAGAAAGCATGGAGATTTCAAGAAACGAAAATGAAGAGGTTAGGTTTTTGGATATGATGTTCCTTTCTTTGTAGCCAAGTCTTGTTCACCTTTTGACAAACTTTCTTCATTTCTAAGCTAAACTTTTTCGAATCCTTAATCTGATCTTTCTCTGTTTAATCAATTTCTCTACCAGACTGCAAAACAGAACAACAACAACAATGTGGCATCAATCATCGGTTCTGATCTCACAAATGTGATTGTGAATCATGACTTCTCTTCGGGGATGCATTCGTGGCATCCGAATTGCTGCGAGGCCTTTGTCGCCACCGCAGATTCTGGTATCTCTCACGGTGCATTAGATCCGTCAAAGTGCGGTAGCTACGTAGTTGTCAACAGCCGGAAAGAAACTTGGCAAGGCTTAGAGCAAGACATCACAGGCAGAGTGAAACCTTGTTCTCTTTACAAAGTTTCTGCAACTGTTGCTGTATCTGGACCGGTTCAAGAATTGGTAGAGGTTATAGCCACATTAAAGCTCGAAAACCGACAATCGCCAACAAACTATCAGTTCATTGCAAAGTAAGAGTATTTCCAACACAACATAAATTTTCATTGTTTTTTAACTTTAACTCCAACTTGAACATGGAAACTTCAAAATTTGAAGTTTCATTTTTGTTGGAATTTCAATCAATAAACTTATATATTACATATTTTAGTACCTAGAATTTTATATCTCATAATTAAATATACATTTTATTTGTAATTTATGATTTACTTTATGTATTTTTATTATAATTATATAAAATCCTATACTATATAATATTTTTAATTAATATTGGTTGTATTTTTCTTAGAAATATGTTTTATAGTTATTTATAAAAAAGTAATTTTACTTAATAATGATCAATATTGAAAATTAGGATTCAAAAAAATAAATGATTTTAAAATTGAATTTGATTTTTTGCCATTGGAAAAAACACATCATCAAACTTCATTGACGTTTTGCAAACTTTAGAAATAAATTCTGCATTTGATATGCTTTAAGGACGTTTTAACACTTATATTTGGGTAATGTTTAGTGTTCACAAAAGAATAACGTTTTTTATTTTTGAATATTTGCAGAAGTTGTGTCTTCAAGGAGAAATGGGTGAAACTAGAAGGCATGTTTTCGTTATCTAGCTTACCAGATAAAGTTGTTTTCTATTTGGAAGGCCCATCACCAGGGATCGATCTCCTCATACAATCTGTTACCATTCACTGCGAAAGCGAGCCTGAGGTATGTTATCAATCATATCAAACTTGATTGTTTGTTTGCGTTTGCGTTTAAACTCACCTATCTCATTCTCTATAAAGCGTGTTACCGCGGAAGATGGGAATATTGTAGTGAACCCAAACTTTGAAGATGGACTAAATAACTGGTCAGGGAGAAGCTGCAAGATCGTGTTGTGTGACTCCATGGACGATGGAAAGATACTACCAGAATCCGGGAAAGCTTTCGCTTCGGCAACAGAACGCACGCAGAGCTGGAACGGTATTCAACAAGAGATTACCGGGAAAGTTGAGAGAAAACGTGTGTATGAAGCAACCGCGGTTGTTCGTATATACGGAAAAAATGTGACAAGTGCTACTGTACAAACTACTCTATGGGTCCAGAATCCAAATCAACGAGATCAATACATCGGCATCGCCAAGTTAGTTGTTCTTTTTCAAGATCACATTCTAATAGTTCAGATCAAGAATCATTCTAAAATGCTAAAGTGGAACTTTATTTTTCTGTTCTTTTTAAGTGTGCAAGCTACAGATAAAGAGTGGATACAGGTTAAAGGGAAGTTCCTCCTCAACGGTTCTGCTTCACGAGTAGTCATTTACATCGAAGGTCCTCCTCCAGGAACAGATATTCTTCTGAATAGCTTTACTGTAAAACACGCCGATAAATTACCTCCTTCACCGCCCCCACCTATTCAGGTTAGTCCAAAGGTTTAATTCGCATTTTCACCTCAGTAAAAATCTACTTAAGTTATAATTATATCAAATATAAATTTTTGCATTTGGGTTTATATGTGAACACTAAAGAATAAAAAAGAGATAATAACAAAAATATCACAAAATAAGTGTTTGTTCCAAAATTAGTATCACTAGTTTTGTTTTCTAAAAGTGCTACAAATTTTGTTTTTTATTTCCAAAAATACAACAAAATTAAAACTAAACTTTAACATTTAAAAACTAAATCCTAAAAGCTAAATCTTAATCGCAAAATTGTAAACCCAAACCCAAAAATTTAAATTATAAAAACACTTGGAAATCATTTTAGTGTTTGTGGTATTTTTGGAAAAAAATTATATTATTGGTAATTTTAGAACATAAAACTAATGATGGTAGTTTAAAACAAAAACTTATTTTATTGGTATTTTATGAGATTTCTTCATAAAAAATTGTATTGAAGAAGAATGTATTTTTATTTGTTGTTTTTTCTTGTAGAATCCTGCGTTTGGGGTAAACATACTCACAAATAGCCAGTTAAGTGATGGTACGACCAATGGTTGGTTCCCATTAGGGAACTGCACGCTAAGCGTTGCGGAAGGTTCACCTCGAATACTTCCTCCGATGGCTAGAGACTCGCTTGGACCACATGAGCCTCTAAGTGGTCACTATATGCTCGTGACTAACCGAACACAAACATGGATGGGTCCAGCTCAAATGATCACTGACAAACTTAAACTCTTCTTGACATACCAGATATCAGTTTGGGTCAAAGTCGGTTCTGGCATTACTAGTCCGCAGAATGTTAATGTCGCACTTGGTATCGATAGCCAATGGGTAAACGGAGGACAAGCCGAGATCAACGATGATAAATGGCACGAAATCGCCGGTTCTTTCCGAGTCGAGAAGCAGCCATCTAAAGCTTTGGTTTATGTTCAAGGCCCCTCTTCAGGTGTTGATCTCATGGTCGCTGGCTTGCAGATTTTCCCGGTCGATCGGCTCGCGAGAATCAAGCATTTGAGAAGACAATGTGACAAGGTAATATATACACAAAAGATTCTGCTTTTTCGGTTTCTTCTATCAAAATGTTAAGAACAATGAGTCTTTATAGTAATTTTCTTGATCTCACAGATCCGTAGAAGCGACGTTATACTCAAATTCTCCGGTGTTGATTCAAGCATATTGTCTGAAGCTACGGTTAAAGTTCGACAGACAAGAAACAGCTTCCCTGTGGGAACTTGCATAAGTAGATCAAATATAGATAACGAAGATTTCGTTGACTTCTTCTTGAAAAACTTTAATTGGGCAGTTTTCGGTAACGAGCTGAAATGGTACTGGACGGAACCAGAACAAGGGAAGCTTAACTATCAAGACGCAGACGATATGCTCAACTTGTGCAGTAGCAACAACATACAAACAAGAGGGCATTGTATCTTTTGGGAAGTGCAAGCAACGGTTCAGCAATGGGTCCAAAAGATGAACCAAACCGACTTAAACAACGCGGTCCAAAACCGATTAACCAGTCTTCTAAACCGGTACAAGGGGAAATTCAAACATTACGATGTGAACAACGAGATGTTACACGGTTCATTCTACCAAGATAAGCTAGGCAAAGACATAAGAGTCAACATGTTCAAGACCGCGCATCAACTAGACCCGTCCGCGACATTGTTCGTGAATGATTACCACATAGAAGACGGGTGTGACCCGAGATCGTGCCCTGAGAAGTACATCGAACAGATTCTTGACCTGCAAGAAAAGGGTTCGCCGGTAGGAGGAATCGGGATTCAGGGCCATATCGATAGTCCGGTAGGTCCGATCGTATGTTCGGCTCTAGACAGACTAGGAATCCTCGGTTTACCAATATGGTTCACGGAATTAGATGTCTCGTCGATAAATGAACATATCAGAGGAGATGATTTGGAGGTGATGATGTGGGAAGCTTTTGGTCATCCTGCTGTTGAAGGTATAATGTTATGGGGATTTTGGGAGCTGTTTATGAGCAGAGAGAACTCTCATTTGGTGAATGCAGAAGGAGATGTTAATGAAGCTGGTAAAAGGCTTTTGGCTGTGAAGAAAAATTGGCTCTCTCATGCTAATGGACACGTTGATGAAAACGGTGCGTTTTCGTTTAGAGGGTACCATGGAAATTATGCAGTTGAAGTGATTACAAGTTCGTCTCAGAAGGTTCTTAAAACGTTTGTTGTTGAAAAGGGAGATTCGGCTCAGGTTATTACTGTTGATCTTCAAGGTTTGTGATGCTTTTGCGTGATGTATATGTGTTTATTTGTGTGTGTCTACACTATATCTAGTTTCGAATATGCTGAAGCGTGTTTGTTTATTGTGAACTAAAACGTTACCTAAAATAATTCGAAGCAAACAATATCCAAACATATTTAGCAAAGAAAAAAAAAACAATATCCAAAGTTGCCTTGGGCATTTGGGTCTGTAGGTTTTTTTGGGTCTAGCTGTTTAGGACCTAATCGGATTATGAAGTTTTCTCGGTTTGGGTCCTTTTGGATTCAGGTTAGTTCCCAGATTTGTAATCAGAACCGTTATAAAATCAAAAATAATTCCGATCCAAAAATAATCCGAATTATCCAAAATAATCCGAAGTAAGTACTTTTGATTTTTTAGGTAGTAGTTAGGATAGAGTATTATCCAAATCGAAACAAAAAATAACCTAAAAATTTGAAATAATTCAAGTAATTGTATATGTATTATATGATATAATAATTTATTTAATAATGATTTGGTAATTAATTTTGAGTTTTTGGGTTTCTGTTCGATTCTCGGTTTTGTTTGGATAATACTCAAGAACCAAAGCAAATTTTTAAAAGAACCATTTGAATTATATTGGCTAAACGGTTTGGATCCAAACCCCATATTTCGGGTTAGTTCCGGTCTAGTTTCTCGGTTCAGAATTTTTCCCAGGGCGAATCCAAACATCTACAGTATTTCTACTTGAACGGACATTCAGAGATTACTACGACTAGAACAACTGTAGTTGGATGTAGGGGTGGACACAAAAATCATAATCGAAAAAATTAAACCATACCGAACCAAAAAAGTGTTATGGTTTGGTTATGGTTAAACTTAAAAATTTATTTGGCCTTTATTTTTTTATAATTTTGGTTTAGGTTTGGTTTGGTTAAAAACCGTCAAACCTATAGATTTTTTTAGTTTTTAAACTAAATTTTAAATAATTTATATTTTTCTAGTTTTTTATTTTAGTTTAAGTATATATTTTATTATTTGGCTTAGTTATCATTATAATTTACTAACTTAACTCATAAATTTAAAATATAATATTTATAAAAAAATATCTACATATAAATAATAAAGTAAACCTAAATTTTTCAATAAAAAAAAACGTGATTAATTATTTTTTCTTCACATTCAAGTCTTCTAATTCTAGTTCTAAGGATATAGGTATTAAATTTTAATCTAGATTTATTTATTATTTTATAATTATTGATTAACTTACTAACTTAACTCATAAATTTAAAATATAATATTTATAAAAAATATCTACATATAAATAATAAAGTAAACCTTAATTTTTAATAAAAAAACGTGATTAATTATTTTTTCTTCACATTCAAGTCTTTTAGTTCTAGTTTTAAGGATATAGGTATTAAATTTTAATCTAGATTTGTTTATTATTTTATAATTATTGATTAAGAAAGATTTGATAATTTGTTTGTTTCTCTGTTTTAAAATCTGTCCTTATTGATGAATTTTTTATGATTTAAATTCTATTTTTGGATTTATTATTTTATTTCACTCATATCTATTATATTATTTCCATTAGTTTGAATCAAAAACTTTCGTAATAGTATAATTCCAAAAAACCGAAACCAAACCATATCAAACCGAACCGTAAAAAACCAAACCATATCGAACCGAAATATATATGGCTTTTATATAGTTTGAATTTTCGTAAAATCGATAAACCGTATAACCACAAAAACCGAACCGAAACCAAACCAAAAACCGAAGTGCCCACTCTTAGTTGGATGTCATTTACGATAGCTTTGGGAATTTGAAAACAGAAATGGCTAAAGGCCCATGTTTAGCTTACAAGAGCTAAGGCCTTAAAGCCCACAGATTTTTCTGTTGCTCCATTTCAAAGAACCCTAATTATAACACCCTTCTTCCACGAGCGCCGTTTCTAGGATTTTCTCCGAGCAACACACCGAAGAAACATTTCAACTCTAAACTAAAACTTCCATCAACAATGGCAGAAAGAGGTGGAGAGCGCGGCGCTGAGCGTGGCGGTGACCGTGGTGGTTTCGGACGCGGATTCGGCGGCCGTGGCGGAGGAAGAGGCGGTCCTAGAGGCCGTGGACGTCGTGGAGGCCGTGCTACAGAAGAGGAGAAATGGGTCCCAGTCACCAAGCTTGGTCGTCTCGTGAGAGATGGTAAAATCAAGCAGATAGAGCAGATTTACCTCCATTCTCTCCCCGTGAAGGAGTACCAAATCATAGATCTCCTCGTGCCTTCGTTGAAAGACGAGGTAATGAAGATCATGCCAGTTCAGAAACAAACCAGAGCTGGTCAAAGGACGAGGTTCAAGGCCTTCGTCGTCGTCGGAGATTGTAACGGTCACGTCGGGTTAGGAGTGAAATGCTCCAAGGAGGTTGCGACGGCCATTAGAGGAGGGATTATTCTAGCGAAGCTTTCTGTGATTCCGGTGAGGAGAGGTTACTGGGGAAACAAGATCGGGAAGCCACACACTGTGCCTTGCAAGGTTACCGGAAAGTGTGGATCTGTTACTGTGAGGATGGTTCCGGCTCCAAGAGGTGCTGGTATTGTGGCGGCTAGGGTTCCTAAGAAGGTTCTTCAGTTCGCTGGTATTGATGATGTCTTCACTTCCTCCAGAGGATCCACCAAAACCCTCGGAAACTTTGTTAAGGTCTGTAAAATTGCTTCCTTTTAGCAGATATTTGTGATACACTTGTAAATTTTCGTTTGGTAGTTTAAGACTCTGGAAATAGGTATATAGTACACATTTGATTGCTTGCATCTGTGCGGATGATGTGATATGACTTCACATTTGCATCTTTGTGATTCTTAATGTAATTGTAAATGTCAATTGTAATTTGTACAAGGTTTTAGCACATATCCTCTTGATTGTGTGCAACTCAATTGATTCTCGATTCTTAACTAACCTCAAGATGTAGTTGTAGATGCCAATTGCGATTTGTACAAGATTCTTAGCGCAGATCTTCTTGATTATGTGAAATTCAATTGCTTGCTTAAATTCGATATGCTTTTTTGATCTTGGGTTTGTTGTTTTAATGTTGTGACGACACAGGCTACATTCGACTGTCTTCAGAAGACGTATGGGTTCCTTACACCAGAGTTCTGGAAGGAGACGAAGTTCCAGAAATCGCCATACCAAGAGTTCACCGATCTCTTGGCTAGTAAGGAAGTTGCTGCAGCCAAGCCTATCACCGAGGGTGAAGACCAAGCTTGAGATTATACAAAATCTTCATGGGATAAGCTTGATTTTGGTTGTTGCAAATATTTTTACTCTTTCTCGTTTGTTTCTCGGTTGTCTGTCAGATTTTGATAATGGAGGTTTTATTTGTATAAGAATAATGGTTCTTAGTTATGTTTTTTGGATTTTTTTGGTTAGGTGTTTGTTGCAAATTTCACTGAAATGGCAGTTTTCAATAGTTCAGTCCTAATTCTCGGTTATGGTATCCATTCAATTTAAGCATCTACGAGACATACTTCGAAATTGTAAAATCTTTAAGTAAGCTATAAACTTGTATTTGTTTAACCATCGTTCTATATTCATTAGGAGGTAGGTTACGAAGTGGTAGATTAATCTAAACATAAACTGTATGATTAATCCAACTGTGAGACTGTAACGAAGTAAGGAACTTATAAATTTGGTTACCCTTTCCAATGATAAATTCATGACTGAGAACTTCTTTAAAGCAAAGTTGATTCTGATTCTTACAACTCCGAATCCTCTCTCCATAGATGATTCTCAAAACTGATTCAAGATTGGAAGGACAAAGTTTTGATTCCTAGAAGCATACAAAATGGTGAGTGTAGCATCCGTATCCGAGAAAATGTGGAATGATCGTACCGGACAGGGTGTTGTCCGAGGAATGACCGAGTCAAGGGTCGGATACTGGCTGGAAAATAGAGGTTCGGACTATGGTCGGGTATTGACCAGTGAAATAGTCGGATGAGGGCTGGATAGCCGAGCCGGATGGACCATATCCGAGGGAAATGGGGTCCAGTCCGAGGAAAATAGGATTTATCCGAGTGCAGTAGGATATATCCGAGAGTCTGGGAGGTTAGTCCGAGTGTCATTGGACTGTCTCCGACGGGGAATAGGAAACCTCCGAGAGAAATAGAGGATTAGCCGAGGTGGGACAAGTTATCCGAGAGAAATAGGAATATCTGGGTGAAAAATGGAAAACACCTCGGATAAGGGCGGTTTATCCGAGTGGGAAGGGATTTGGGCCGTGGACCAAGTGTTTGGTCGACTATTTTGGGGTTTATCGAAGGAATGGTCGAGCCGGTACAGGGAATAGCCGAGAGAATCGAATCGGACCGGGATAAAACTTACTGGAACCGGGAAAACGTCGGATAAGTCCGGGTTACCTAGGGTTTTGCGAGTATTTAAGGGATTTTGAGACTTTTCTCGGGAGAGTTGTGTTTATTCGAGAGCAATAAAGCAAAGAAAGAGAATAGTCGAGAGAAAACCCTAAGAAAAACAGTTTATCCCGAGGACATCCGAGAGAGATCAGGTTATCGCCGAGCAGATCCGACCATCGCCGAGATAAACTGGTAAGCGATCGGATATTTCCCTAAGTGTTGAGTTTTCATCGGATAACCTCGAGCTAATAGCCTTGTTTTATGGGGTTTCCGAGGGAAAACAGAGTTTGGCTCGAAGAAAGGTGAACGGATCAAGAGATAGCCGAGGGGATAGGGATCGGATCGTACTGTGAGCCGAGAGATTCTTAGGGAGATCGGATATCTTCGTTTTGGTGCGGTTTTCATCAGGATTTCTTCTGACCAATCTGTTTCTAGCCTTGTCTAAGGTGAGTGCGTGACTGTGGTTGGGTCTAGGACCGTAAGATTGCTAGGGTTGAATGTTTGCATGTTGATTGTGTGATTTTCATGTTATGTGTTTGGAATTGATAAGCAATCCTTATGTTATGGGATATTGTGGTGTTTACCGTGGCATAGATGGTATTTAGCTAACCTCAGGGTAATCCGGATCATGTACTAGCTTAGGAGATGTGGGATTCTCGCTGAAGTAGACATGGGTCTTAAAAAGGGATTGATCTTGGTTGGTTAGGCTAGATGATCATGGCCGTTTGATATTGTGATGTCTATTGCGAATTGATTGTGTTGAATGTTGAATCCAAAAGTATGACTGCGTGTTTGGTACTGACCAGGTGTTACGGGATGACCGTACTCACTAAGTATTTATGAAATACTTATGCCTCTCATCTTAAGTGTGCAGGTACTAAGCAGTAAGGGGGGCGAGACCAGGCGGCAATGATGGATATGGATGGACCGGGACTTGGTTTTATTTGTGTTAAGACTTGTGTTTAGAGTCTTATGGCTTTGGTGTTTGATCGTTAGGTTGCTAGATGATCAGTTGTAATCTTTAGCGAACCTTGTGCTTTTATTTATGTGGAACCCCGAATCCTGTTTAAGTGTTTTTGAAAGTTGAATAAATGAAATGAGTTGCTTTATATTCCGCTGTGTAATGATAAGAAAGACTTAGAAAAATAAAGAAGAAAAAGTTCGAAAATATGGCTAAGTATAGAAACGGACTTAGAGGATGTAGTGGGACACAACCGCGGTACGGTTTACTGGGTTGGGTTACCACAAGTTGGTATCAGAGCATTTTAACGCTTCTAGGACTGAAATTGGTGACTGATGTTGTTTGTTTGTTTGGGGTTTATGGGGGTCCGATCCATTCTTCACTGCTAAGGTCTCGCGGTAAGTTGTTGTGTGGTGTTGAGAAACACGTGTTGAGTTAGCTTCGGCTAACTGGCATTGTGTACTTGCAGATGGTTGATACCAGAAGAACCGTGAGAAACAATGGGGACAACCAGGCTGCTGGGTCTGTGAACTCAGTCAACGGTGATGTTGCTGAGAGGGCTAGTGAAGCCGAGAGACAGGCAGCTGCGGTTGCGAATGAGGCGGCTAGAGTGGCAGCCATGGAAGCAGCAAGGAATGCTGCGGATGCTGAGAACGTGGCTAGGAATGCTGCGGGTGCAGCTGGGGATGCTGAGAATGTGGCACCAGTGGGGTTAGAGGCTGTGCTTGGGATGTTAGCACATGTACTAGCTAGGCTACCTGCGGTGGCTCCTGCTCCGGCGGTTGCAGCAGCACCACATATAGTACCACCGGTGGGAGTTCACGCGGATGTGATTGAGGAGGAAGCGGACCAAGTGGAGAGGGTTCCGAGTTACCTCAAGGTTTTGGATCACATGGTGCGGTTGGGAACCAAGTTCTTTGCTGGAGGTTCTCTACCAATTGAGGCAGATGAGTGGAGGATGAGACTGGAACGGAATTTTGAGTCTATCCGATGTCCAGAGGGTTACAAGAGAGACATTGCCGTGCACTACTTGGAGGGTGATGCACACACGTGGTGGAAAGGAATTGTTCGAAGGCTGGTGAACGCGAATTGTTCTTATGAGACATTTTCAGCGATGTTCAGGAGTAAGTACTTCCTACAGGAAGCTTACAACGAGTTGGAGAAGGCGTTTCTGTACCTTAGTCTGGGGACGCTTACAGTGAGGCAGTATGAGACTCAGTTTAATCAGCTGAAGAAGTATGTGTCTCATGAGTTTGACACGGAGGAGAAGCTGATTCGCTGGTTTATGAGTGGACTGCGAGTTGAGCTAAGGAATGGGTGTGTGGTTCGTGACTTCAGGACAGTTGCTGAGCTTGTTGAGAAGGTGGCATTGTTGGAGTCAGGACAGGCGGAAGCTGCGTTGATGTCAGCTGGGGCTAGTGCAGCCGTGACCAAGGCGGGTCAGTCTAGTGGACAGAACCGGAAGTTTGGGAAAGGAGTACCGAACAAAGGATCTGGGGGACGCAGCGTGTGCAGCAAGTGTGGCAAGGCTCACGTTGGCGAGTGTAGGTGCGGTGGTAGTGGATGCCATAGGTGCAGGAGTTTAGAGCATCGGGTACGAGACTGTCTGGAGGGGGATCAGCGAGTGGTCTGTGTGTCCGGCAGTGATGGTGCGGTTCGGGTTTGCTACGGTTGTGGAGGACCAGGGCATTTCAAGCGTGAGTGTCCTAATGCAGGAGTGGTGGAGCAGGCCGTGGCTCAAGGGAAGAGAGCAGGGGAGGCGCTTGCATCACAGGCCAAGAGACAGACCATTATGCCGAGGGTGTACACGACGAGTGCAGCAGCAGCCGAGGAACCGAGCACTTCTCATCCGATTACTGGTACGTGTGGTACTTAGTATTTTCTAAACTTCCTCTTGCGTGTTGTGTGTTAGTATAGAGTCTTAGCATTCTAGGGAATGAATGTGTAGGGACCTTGCTAATGGGTGAGGTTGAAACCCATGTTCTGTTTGACTCGGGAGCGAGTCATTGTTTTGTTAATCCGGACATGATCGAAAAGGATCAGTTCCAGAAGGAACCCGGAGAGGACTTTGGGTTAGTTCAGGCGGCTGGAGGCCAAGTGATGTTTTCACTAGGAACGGTCAAAAATGTTCCAGTGATGTTTGGCGAAGTGAACATGCCAGCGGATCTAGTGATCTGTAGGGTTAAGTCCTACGATGTCATTTTGGGAATGGACTGGTTAGGCAAGTACAGAGCTCACTTGGATTGTCACTGTGGAAGGGTGCGGTTTGAGAGAGACGGGGAGGTCTTGGTTTATCAGGGAGTTAGACCAACCTCAGGAAGTTTGGTGGTTTCAGCTATTCAGGCAGAACGGCTGATAGAGAAGGGTTGTGAGGCGTATCTAGCAACGATCACTACTACAGAAGGAGGACCGGATGTAGACTTAGGCAGTATACCGGTGGTGCAGGAATTTGAGGATGTTTTTCAGGCGTTGGCAGGACTGCCACCAGCTCGTTCAGATCTATTCACGATTGAACTTGAGCCGGGGACAGCTCCATTGTCCAAAGCACCATATCGGATGGCGCCAGCGGAGATGGCTGAACTGAAAAAGCAGCTAACGGAGTTGTTGGACAAAGGCTTCATTAGACCTAGTAGTTCACCGTGGGGAGCACCAGTGTTGTTCGTGAAGAAGAAGGATGGGAGCTTCAGGCTTTGCATTGATTACTGCAGATTGAACCGTGTGACTGTGAAGAACAAGTATCCACTTCCCAGGATAGACGAGTTGTTGGACCAACTCAGGGGAGCTACTTGGTTCTCTAAGATCGATTTGGCATCAGGGTACCATCAAATACCCATAGAGGAGACATACGTGCGTAATACTGCCTTTAGGACAAAGTATGGTCATTACGAGTTTGTGGTCATGCCATTTGGTTTGACGAATGCGCCAGCTGCATTCATGAAGTTGATGAATGGCGTATTCAGAGAGTACCTAGATGAGTTTGTGATCATTTTCATAGATGATATTCTAGTATACTCTAAGGATGAGGAAAATCATAAGAGTCATTTGCGGACTGTTCTGGAGAAGTTGAGAGAACAGAAGTTGTATGCCAAGCTCAGTAAGTGTAGCTTTTGGCAACAGCATATAGGGTTCTTGGGTCATATTGTTTCGGATAAGGGAGTGTCCGTGGACCCAGAGAAGATTCAGGCTATTACGGATTAGCCCAGACCAGAGAATGCTACATAGATAAGAAGTTTTCTCGGACTAGCTGGTTACTACAGGCGGTTTGTCAAAGGTTTTGCAAGCATGGATCAGCCAATGACAAAGCTGACTAGTAAAGACGTGGAGTATGTCTGGACGGATGAGTGTGAAGAGTGCTTCTCAAAGTTAAAGGAGTTACTCACTAGTGCACCAGTATTGGCGTTACCAGAACCGGGTGAGCCATTCGTGGTATACACGGATGCATCCAGGAAAGGATTAGGTTGTGTTCTGATGTAGAATGGTAAGGTGATAGCTTATGCTTCGCGACAGCTACGGAAGCATGAAGAAAACTACCCTACGCATGATTTAGAGATGGCGGCTGTGGTATTTGCACTTAAGATATGGAGATCTTACTTGTATGGGGAGAAGGTGCAGATATACACGGACCACAAGAGTTTAAAGTACATCTTTACTCAACCGGATTTGAACTTGAAACAGCGTAGATGGATGGAGTTGGTAGCGGACTATGACTTGGAAATAGCATACCATCCAGGAAAGGCCAACTTGGTGGCGGATGCGTTGAGTAGGAGAAGGGCTAGCGTGTCATCTGAACAGAATGTTGGGAGCATTGTGAACATGCTAAGGACATTACAGTTGAATGCAGTAACAGAAGGGGTTGAACCGTTGGGTTTGGAAGCTGCGGATAGAGCTGACTTGTTGACTAGAATTTGGATTGCTCAGGAGCAGGATGAGAATCTGAAAAAGGTGTCACAGAATGACAAGACGGAATATCAGACTTCAAACAATGGGACTATTGTTGTGAACGGACGGGTCTGTGTTCCAGATGTGAAAGAGTTAAAGGATGAAATCCTTAAGGAGGCACATCAGTCAAGGTTTTCTGTTCATCCAGGAATGACCAAGATGTATCAGGATTTGAAACGGTACTATCATTGGGTTGGGATGAAACGGGATGTGGCTAAGTGGGTAGCCGGATGTGAGACGTGCCAATTGGTTAAGGCAGAGCATCAGTTTCCAAGTGGTTTGTTGCAAACGTTGCCAATGCCAGAATGGAAATGGGACATGATCACCATGGACTTTGTATTAGGGTTACCTAAGACTAGGAAGTTGCATGACGGGATATGGGTCATTGTGGATCGTTTGACCAAGTCTGCTCACTTCTTAGCAATGAAAAAGACTGATGGAGTACCAAAGTTGGTAGACATGTATATTGATCAGATCGTGAAGTTGCATGGAGTGCCAGTGAGTATCATTTCAGATCGTGATCCGAAGTTTACTTCGAGGTTCTGGAAAGAGTTCTAGGAAGCGTGTGGGACGCGATTGCATATGAGTACAGCATATCATCCTCAGACTGATGGGCAATCAGAACGGACGATCAGGACATTGGAGGATATGTTGAGAGTGTGTGTACTGGACTGGGGTGGTAGTTGGGAAGACTACTTACCATTGGCTGAATTTGCATACAACAATAGTTACCAAAGGAGCATTGAGATGTCTCCGTATGAGGCGTTGTATGGCAGGCCGTGCAGAACACCATTTTGTTGGACACAAGTGGGGGAGCGTAGCATAATGGGGCCAGCAGTGGTCGAGGCTACTACAGAAAAGATCGGATTGTTAAAGGTTAAGCTGAAAGAGGCTATGGACAGGCAGAAAAGTTATGCGGACAAGCATCGCAGGGATTTGGAGTTCAGTGTGGGTGATATGGTTTATCTTAAGGCACTGACTTATAAGGGAACGGATAGGGCAGCTAAGAGTGCCAAGTTGAATCCGAGGTACATGGGGCCGTACCGGATACTGGAAAGAGTTGGCGCAGTGGCTTACAAGTTGGACTTGCCATCGGAAATGGGAGCGTTCCACAATGTATTCCATGTGTCGCAGCTGAGGAAGCACATTACCGAACGGGAAACGGTTATAGATGAGCCGCCAGCAGACTTGCAAGAGGACCTTGCAGTAGTGGCTAGACCGGTTCGAGTAATAGGATGGAAAGAAAAGACTAAGCGTGGGAAGCTGGTCAGAATGGTTCAGGTCGTATGGGACTGCGACGGGCATGAACAGGTTACTTGGGAAAAGGAGGCTAGGATGAAAGCTGAGTATCCCAAATGGTTTGACAAGTTGCAAACGGATGAGTCGGATTCGAGGACGAATCCAGAACGGGTGGGGGAGAGTTGTAGCATCCGTATCCGAGAAAATGTGGAATGATCGTACCGAACAGGGTGTTGTCCGAGGAATAACCGAGCCAAGGGTCGGATACTGGCTGGGAAATGGAGGTTCGAACTATGGTCGGGTGTTGACCGGTGAAATAGTCGGATGGGGGCTGGATAGCCGAGCCGGATGGACCATATCCGAGGGAAATGGGGTCCAGTCCGAGGGAAATGAGATTTATCCGAGTGCAGTAGGATATATCCGAGAGTCTGGGAGGTTAGTCCGAGTGTCAGTGGACTGTCTCCGAGGGGGAATAGGAAACCTCCGAGAGAAATAGAGGATTAGCCGAGGTGGGACAAGTTGTTCGAGAGAAATAGGAATATCCAGGTGAAAAATGGAAAACACTTCGGATAAGGGCGGTTTATCCGAGTGGAAAGGGATTTGGGCCGTGGGCCAAGTGTTTGGTCGGCTATTTTGGGGTTTATTGAAGGAATGGTCGAGCCGGTACAGGGAATAGCCGAGAGAATCGAATCGGACCGGGATAAAACTTACTGGAACCGGGAAAACGTCGGATAAGTCCGGGTTACCTAGGGTTTTGTGAGTATTTAAAGGATTTTGAGACTTTTCTCGGGAGAGTTGTGTTTATTCGAGAGCAATAAAGCAAAGAAAGAGAATAGTCGAGAGAAAACCCTAAGAAAAACAGTTTATCCCGAGGACATCCGAGAGAGATCAGGTTATCGCCGAGCAGATCCGACCATCGCCGAGATAAACTGGTAAGCGATCGGATATTTCCCTAAGTGTTGAGTTTTCATCGGATAACCTCGAGCTAATAGCCTTGTTTTGTGGGGTTTCCAAGGGAAAACAGAGTTTGGCTCGAAGAAAGGTGAACGGATCAAGAGATAGCCGAGGGGATAAGGATCGGATCGTACCGTGAGCCGAGAGATTCTTAGGGAGATCAGGTATCTTCGTTTTGGTGCGGTTTTCATCCGGATTTCTTCTGACCAATCTGTTTCTAGCCTTGTCTAAGGTGAGTGCGTGACTGTGGTTGGGTCTAGGACCGTAGGATTGCTAGGGTTGAATGTTTGCATGTTGATTGTGTGATTTTCATTTTATGTGTTTGGAATTGATAAGCAAACCTTATGTTATGGGATATTGTGGTGTTTACCATGGCATAGATGGTATTTAGCTAACCTCAGGGTAATCCGGATCATGTACTAGCTTAGGAGATGTGGGATTCTCGCTGAAGTAGACATGGGTCTTAAAAAGGGATTGATCTTGGTTGGTTAGGCTAGATGATCATGGCTGTTTGATATTGTGATGTCTATTGCGAATTGATTGTGTTGAATGTTGAATCTGAAAGTATGACTGCGTGTTTGGTACTGACCAGGTGTTACGGGATGACCGTACTCACTAAGTATTTATGAAATACTTATGCTTCTCATCTTGAGTGTGCAGGTACTAAGCAGTAAGGGGGGCGAGACCAGGCGGCAGTGATGGATATGGATAGACCGGGACTTGGTGTTATTTGTGATAAGACTTGTGTTTAGAGTCTTATGGCTTTGGTGTTTGATCGTTAGGTTGCTAGATGATCAGTTGTAATCTTTAGCGAACCTTGTGCTTTTATTTATGTGGAACCCCGAATCCTGTTTAAGTGTTTTTGAAAGTTGAATAAATGAAATGAGTTGCTTTATATTCTGCTGTGTAATGATAAGAAAGATTTAGAAAAATAAAGAAGAAAAAGTTCGAAAATATGGCTAAGTATAGAAACGGACTTAGAGGATGTAGTGGGACACAGCCGCGGTACGGTTTACCGGGTTGGGTTACCACAGCTTCCATCTGCACTTTCGATTGGCCATGGATGATGAAATCGATCCCAAGCGAAGAATCGAGTATTGGTTTATGCTGAATCAAAACTAAAGTCAAAGAAACGAGATGAATCACCAAAACAAAATATGGACACCACACAAACAAAAAGTTTACAGATGGAGAAACAAATACATGCTTAAATAGAAGGAAAAATCAACAAACCCCATGATTGAGTATCATCACATAAAAGCTTCAATTATAATCGTTTCAGCTGTAGAATTTAACAAAAGGATGTGTTGGAATTTGTAATCTTCTCCTCCTTCCGACAATCGCTCCTTCCATTCCTCGCTCATACCATGACAATTCAGATTCTTTAAGGAAGTGATGATATCGTAGTCCATCAGAAAGCTCCTTTAACTTTTCACAATAACTAATCTGGAAAGTGTGGAGAAGTGGCACAGATCCTTCGTCTACTATCCACTTCAATCCTCTAGCCCATTGAATCTTAGAAACTGCAATTTACAAAAAGCCACCTGCAGAGAAAACCATTCTCCTCCCACTAAAAGATCCTTCCCATAAACAAACCTCTTCCAAGTGAAGCAGCTTCTCTAGAATAGGCATGGTATCCTCCTCCAAACGACAACCACCTAGAAATATGGTTTTAAGGTGAGAAGGAAAGTGTCCTTCATCAGGAAACTTTGGCATATAAACATATGGCTGTCTAAGATTAACGGCATAAAAAAAAATCGTTTTCTATCTTTCTCATGTCAAAATCGCTACCATCTATATCAAGATTTTCTAGGTGTCTAGACTTCGTATTAGTAAACGGGCCTAGACTTATGGGAATTCCTGCAACAGCTTCGGTGGCAGATACTATAGTGATTTAGATCAAGAACTAGATAACTCCTATTTCTATTAGGTTTAAATCTATTTTATTCTTAACCACAACTTGATTTAGGTATCTTAGACTTCAAGCAATGTTGATTTAGGTATCTTAGACTCCCTCTTAAGTTTCAACTTAGTCTTAGACATGTCTTGAACTTCTATCATGCTTCTCATCTCACTAAACTTGATCCGTGCGATTGCAGATACGTTGTCGATCTTGATGAAGATCTGCTCATCCTTCCATCCTGTGATCTCACTTAAGATATTTTGCAGCCATATGGCTTGCTTAGCCGCCTCCGTTACTGCCATGAACTCAGCCTCACATGATGAAAGCGCAACCATGTTTTGCATCTGTGAACGCCAAGTGATTGGCGAGGATCCGAAGTAGAATATATGATCTGTGGTACCTCTTCCATCATCTTGATCAATATTGTGACTGCTGTCACTATATACGCTGATCTTCTTTGTTCATCTTTGACTAAATTTCAAGCCAAATGCAACTGTTCCCTTAATATACCGTAGTATGTGACTTCCGAGTACTCTGCATATATCTGCTAGCGACTCCAATAGAAAATACCAAGTCTGGTCGTGTGTGTAGCAAATACCGTAAGCATCTCACATTTCTTCTATAACATGAAAAATCTATCTCTTCTTCTTCTTGCGCCTTTGAAACTTTCAGTACGAACTTCATAGAAATTTGAGTTGGATTGCAAGTTTCTAAGCCAGCTTCCTTCAAGATCCTTGTTGCATAGCTTTCTTGTTTAATCTCGATTCCATCTTCATTTTGATGCAATTCTATACTGAGATAGTATCAGACATCTCGAACTTTGTTGACATTCCAGCCTTGAATTTACTTATGACCTTAAGAGTGTTTCCGGTTACAAACAAGTCATCTACATAAATCACAATTATAAGAAGAGAACCTCCTTTTTCCTTGCAATACACAGAAGTTTCTTTTGAGCACTTCTTGAACCCCATTCCCTTCAAGATCTGATCTCTAAGTATGAATTAAGAGATGGAAGAACACTTAAGAAAAAACTTGAAAAAAATTTAGAGGGAATAATTTTTTTTATGAAAAACACTTTTTCTTTACTTTTTTAACTTCTCATGTTTACAAATGATGAAGAAGTGAGCTATTTATAGGCTCCACTTATTACAAAATATCTTATAAATATTTTTTTAATCTCTAGAATTCTCTACAATAATATTTAGATTTTTGTCTACAATATCTAGAATTGTCTATACAAATATCTATATATATATTACTAATAGATTTCTCTGTATTACTTAAGAGATTGTGATTTTTAATAATGTTTCTAAATAGATTCGAGAATTTAGACTTAAGTTTAGATTTAATCTAATAAAAGGAATAATTAATTTATGAACCCCAAATTAAGCTTAATCTAAAATCAAGCGTAACCAAGCTTGAGATTATACTAATCTATGGGATAAGTTTGGTTTTTGGTTGTTGCAAATATTTTTATTCTTTATCGTTTGTCTGTCAGATTTGTTATTGGTAGTTTTTTTTTTTATGTTTTTTTAATTTTATTTTGATATTGAAGGTTTTATCCAAATTCTCGGTTGTGGGATTCATTCAATTCAATTAAGGAACCTAATTCAACATAATATGTGAATTGTATTTACGGGACATATACTTCAAAATTGTAAAATCTTTAAGCTAAAATTTCGACCAAAAAAAAAATATACAAAGATTGTCTTGCGATGATTCCAAACTAATCTTCTTTGCCAAGATATCTAGTATACCTGAAAAACTTTCTTTCGAAACTTTAACCCATTGAACCATTTGTTTCGCACACTAATCTTCTTTGTCAAAAAAAAAAAAAAAAGAGTTGAAAAGTAAGCTATAAAACATGTTTTTGTTTAGCCATAGTTCTATATTCATTAATTGGTGGATCTCATAATTAAGAGAGAACTTTTCTATAGGAAAGACTTGATCGGACGTAAAACTAATCATAAAAATTTAAATATTTTTTCTCCATAGATGATGCTCAAGCTGAGTCATTAAGATCGGAGGTCCAAAGTTGAATTCCTTATACAAGATGGTGAGTGATAGCTACCATCTGCACTTTCAGTTGGCCTATAAATGGTGCTGAAACAGAAATCAAAGAAACAAGTTGAAATGCAGCTGAAATGGATCAAGTATATGTTTGTCGTCAACTAAACATGATATGGACAACACAAACAAAAAGTTTCCAGAAGGAGAAGCGAAGATGCTTAAAATTGAACGAAAACTCCACAAACCAATGATTTGAGTATCGTCACTCAAACCTGCAAACATATAAAAAAACCAGGTTTGATTAATTATATAGCAGAACAAAAGAATGCAGAGAGTTTATTATTCGGTTGATACTGATACTGATAAAGAGATTCGCTTCAGAACAGATTCGTCTACAAAAACATAAGCATGAATCGAATTCAGCAGAATTTTACTTCTCGCTAGTAAATTCTTTTGGTAAGAATTCATTTTCAAAACAAAATAGAATTTCTTTCGCATGTTCACTGGATGATTTAGAATAAAGAAAAGATATTTTACCTGGTGCATTGTTTGTAATTGCTGAGAGCCTCATTAAGGATATTAACGGAAATGAACGGAAGGGATGTGTTGGACTTTGTAATAATCTTCTCCTCCTTCCGACAATCTCTCATTCCATTCCTCTCCCATACCAGAGCAAAACAGAATTTTTAAGGAAGTGATGAATCGTAGTCCATCAGGAAGCTCCTTTAACTTAGGACAACCCAAAATATCGAGAGTATGAAGAAGAGGCATGGAGCCTTCTTCTAGTATCCACTCTTCCAACTCCGCTAACCCATTTAATCCCAGATCCTGCAATTGAGGAAACCCACCGGCCGAGCAAACCATTCTCCTCCCACAGAATGAAAAATCCCATAAAGTAAGCTCTTTCAACTGAAGCAGCTTCTCTAGAATAGGCATGGGATCCTCCTCCAAACGACAATTAGACATAGAGAGGCTTGTAAGGCAAGAAGGGAACTGTAGTACATCAGATAACAATGGAGCGTTTATACTCAACTTCAGCTGTTTGAGATTAATGGATTCCAATAGAGTTCCCCAATCTCTGGTCCCCTTATCCCCTTTATACTCTATATCAAGATTTTCCAGGTGACTCATTCCACCTATTGATGCTGATAGAGTTTGTAAACTTGTCTCACCAATTAATTTGATTCCAAGAGTCCTCAATCTGGCCATATCACGGAGATCCTCTAAAGCTGCTATTCTCTGCTGAGAAATTCTTCAATGTCTCCAATTTTTTTAGATTACTCAGCTCCAGCTTTGTCTTCTTATGCATATCCCGTGGTAATGCAAGGTATCTCAACTCTTTCATCCCCATCAAGACATTGGGCACGAATATACATGATGGTTCGAGTACATCTAAATTTAGGTAAATCAGCAACTTCAGATTTTTTAGAGAAGATGGTAGATGACATACCCATGCTTTTTCTAAGTTCAGATATCTTAAGTGGATGAGCTTTCCAATGCTTTTGGGTAATTTCCCTCCTTTAAATTCTGCTGAATAGAGATGTAATACCCTCAGGAGTTGTAACCTCGTAAAGCTTAAACCTGAAAGCTTCCAGCTATATGACTCGTTCTTGATAATGACGATAGATCGAACCTTTAAATTATTTATCTCTCTCTCAACATGTAATTTAGTCGGATAATGTGAGACAAATCTTCGAGATGTACTAAGAGACTGAGAGTGTGTGGTCTCGGAGTTGATACCGACAAATTGCACGAAGTTCTCTTCTTTGGCTTTCGACAAACAAATTTCTCTCATCAAGTCATGAAGTTGACAGGTTTCAAATCTCTCAGTCGTAATGTCTCTTTTGGAAATAACCATATTTCTCCTCACCAACTCCTCAATGAAGGTATCCCCAACATCTCGAATGCTCTCTCCATCATTATACCTGATTATTCCTTCTGCAGCCCAGCAATAGGACAAATTTTCTATATCTATTTCATAATCTTCTGGAAAATGGGCCAGGTAGAGGAAGCAATTCTTCAAATAACTAGGCAACTCTTCAAAGCTCAGAGACAACACATAGTTCAATGAATTCTTGTTGTGGTCGTTGACATCATTTCTTCCCACGAGATGAGATCCAATATTCTTAGATACTCGTTCCCAGTTGTGCAGTGTGTAATTTTCACCCAATAAGCCTCCTAACACTCTAATAGCCAAAGGCAATCCCTTACAATGTTCGATCATTTGCTTACCCATCTTTTCCATCTTTTCCATCTTTATCCTCTCTTCAGTCTCTTCCATCTCAACCTCCAATTCTGCACAGCATCATAAAAACAAATACACTTCATTTGCACCATATAAAACAAATATATCAACAGGCTACAATCAATTAGGGTTACAAAGATTGTCTTGCGACAATCCCAAAACATATCTCATTGTATTTAAAATGCAAAAAAAAACGGAAAAAATCTCTTCATGCTTACCGGATGCATCTTTCCTTGGCATTGCTACTCTCTGGAAAAGTGTCCAACTCTTTTCATTAGTTAGACATGCTGGTTTAAAGTTGATAAATGATGTATTTCCACATCTGGCGACATTCTCATTTCGAGAAGTAATTAGCACCTTCCAACCTGCAATTTTTTTACTCATTAAGCACAAAGAGAATGACAATTAATGATTTAGTGAAGTACAATACAAAAAGTCACCTTTTTCGGGTGGAAATATTTTCCTGATTACGTCCCAGTCTTCTTCTTTCCATATGTCATCAAAGACAATTAATGATTTAGATGTTTTTAACAATTGAAAGAGTTCTTCGTGGAGTGCAGTTTCTTTCATATCCATGATTTTCTGTTGCTCTTCTTTGGGTTTGAAATTCTGCAAGATTGCTTGCCACACATTCATCCGGTCACAAACTTGTGTAACACAGACCCACGCGAGTTTGTCAAACTTTTTTTTAACCATCTCGTGATTGAAAGCTTGTCTAGCCAGGGTGGTTTTCCCAAGACCACCCATCCCCGTCATGGAAACCACTTGAACATTATCTTCCTCCACCAAATAACTAAGCAATCTGTCAACATTTGCTTTTAGCCCCACGAGATCACTTTCGTTCTCCCTCGGAAATTCTTGTCGCTTCTCCCTTTTTCTATCATGTAGAGGTTGCACGTACCTGCTATCTGCAATAGTTTCTTGTACTCCATAACTTTGCATATTTTTAATCATCTTGGAGATCCTCTTATCTAAGCCTCGAATATCTAGTGCAATCTTCCTACGGTCTGGAATAACACAAGCAAGTCTTCTGATACGTTTCCTGACGCCGCTTGTTTTTCCAAATTTTTCTCTAAGAAAAAAGGTTTCGATTATATCTTCTGCATCACAAATAATCTCTTTGATATCCTCCAAACAGGTTTTCACCTCGGGACTTGTATGTTTCTTTGCATCTGCATCTTTAAAAAAAGAACTTAACAAATTTAGATCTCTTTTTAGTACCGCCACTTGATCAACAACTCCTTGAAAATGCGCAATTTCTTGGCTCAGTAAAACACAAAGCTTTTGTACTCCTAACGACAAAAGTTCCCCCGCCATAACAGCTCCTGTTTAATTTGTATGAAAATAAGAATCAAGCTACATATTGACGAACAAAGACGTACATACAACTTTCATATTACACACATTGATCTTGGGTAAATTATTTTTCGCACTGAGACACGCATTCATCTAAACTATATAAAGAGAATCATTCTTAATAAATATTCAAAAGTTACCATGGTATTTACAATATATGCCATTACATTTACTAGACAATTTTATTAATTCATTAAAGATAATTTAGTTATATCATTAAACCACTAAAAATACATTAAATTAAATTAAATTATATTAGTTTGTTAATAGATAATACCAATAAATTATATCTGATATTTAATAAAATTCAAATTAATTTAATTTTAAAATTATTTCAAAATCTTTCATAATATCTTAACATAATTACCACAAATATATATAGCACATATAATTAATATAATTATATATATATTATATTATAATCAATTTCTTCTCTATACAATTAAAAAAAACACTACTTTAAAATGTTTAAAAGCTAAAATAATATTTATTAAATGTAAAAATTTATAGTCTGTAATCATTATTTTTTGGTTACATATATACATACTATGAAAAAAATAGTATGTCAATAATTTTTTCATGGTTTGCTAATGATTTTTTTACCGGAAATCATGGATTTGCAGATTTGACAAATACAAATTTCTAGATATTATAGGTTTTACATGTTTTAGTGGGTTTTATAAGTTTTAACGGAAAATATATTTTTATAAGAAAATGCCAGTTTAACAAGAAATGTATTTTTGTAGATTTAGCAGAAATACATGATTTTAAAAATTTAGTTTGGCAGATTTTATGGGGTTTACGGAAAAACACGGGTTTACATAATGCAAATAACGTAATTTTGCGGATTTTATAGGTTTTAGCAGGAAAATATAGTCATACGGGAAAATACGGGTTTGTGGGTTTGGAAACTCGATTTTGCAGGTTTGGCAAAAACACATGAGTTTAGACATTTGGTTATAAAACATGATTTTAAGGATTTTACAAATTTATGGAAAATATGGGACTGTGGTTTTGGCCAGAAACGTGATTATGTGGATTTTACGAGGTTTACATGTTTTAGTCGGGCTTATATGTTTTGATGGAAAATGTGGTTTTATGGATTTTATTGAAAACGCATGTTTGCGGGTTTGATAAAAAACGTAATTTTGTAGGTTTGATAAAAACACGTAGTTTTAGAAATTTGGCCATAAAATACAGTTTTATGGTGTTGGGGAAAACATAAATTTTGGTTTTGTTAAAAAATGTGGGTTTACAATTTTGGAAGGAAAATATAGTTTGATGAAAAATGCTATTTTTATAGTTTTTACGGGAATTCCTGATTTTGATACAACAACATGGTTTTAGTAATTTTTAATTTTGTTAAAAAAATGTGGGTTTACAATTTTGGCAGAAAAATACTGTTTGATGAAAAATGCTATTTTTACAGTTTCTATGAGAATTCCCGATTTTGGTACAACAACGTGATTTTAGTATTTTGCTAAAAAATGCGGCTTTTTATTACTATCGAAAACTCTGATTTTATGGTTTTGACAACGAAAAAACTTGATTTTATGGTTTAAATTAAAAATGTATTTTGGTCTTTTAATTTTTGAGATTCAAATGCTGCCATCCAAACTCTATTTTGTTAGCATCTTAAATATTCAAATTTTGAGATATTATAGATTTTGTATTCAAATATTTTTTTAAAAAAACTACATCCAAATAAGTATCTGGATGCAAAAACAAACAAAATCTAAGTAAATATTAAAATTTTAATTACAAACAAATAAAATATCTCTTGCATTATAAAACATAATACTTTGAAAATATTTGTTACAAAATTTAACCAGAAATCCGCTAATCAAAATATCTTTTTTTTTATAGAAATCAAGTCTAAATAATTTTAAGAACATAAAAACATAACGTAAAAATAGTTTATATAATCTAATAAAAAATTTATGTTTGGGCCATAATTTTGGATTTAATAATATAAGCTTATTTTTTGATCAAAAGTTTCATATAAACCGATTTTTAGTATGAACTAAAAATATTTTATGAAAAGAAACCCGCGCAAGTGCGCGGGTCCAACATCTAGTTCACATTTAAAAAAAACATAAATTGTTGATAAAGAAAAATTAATTGAGTCTATATTATCATTCGCACTATTACTGTTTACGCTTCGATTTTTTTAATATTGTTTATATTATGGTGAAACATATTTATTTTTATTTTTTATTATAAGATGGAAAAATCGTTTTGTACTAGAGGGGGGGAGGGAGGGGGTATTCAAAATGAATTTACAATAATTTGGATTACAATGACAAATCATATCTTATTCAAATATGATTTTGTAAAGAATTTAAAAATCTAATGTTATTGAACTAATTGATTGAAAATAACTTTAAATCCATTATTATTGGAAACATTTTAATTAATGGATGTAAAAAGACTTACTAAAAAAATATTTATGTGTGTTTATACATTGTTTTACATAAAAATATAAAATGTAGCATCCCAATTATGTGATATGAACTTGTTAAGTTATAATTAATAAGATTATAAACCTAAGTTTAATTAGCTAATTAAGCTCAATCAAAGTAAATAAGAAAAAGAGAAAAATGAGGCATAGCAGAAAAAGATGAAAATGAGAACATAGAAAGAAAATAAAAAAGAGAGAAAAAAAAGGAGAAGGCTTAGTATAATAAGGGTTTTGTGAAGAGATTTACCGGCGAACTGTAAGGATCTACGAGCGGATCTATATAACTATAGAAAGTCTCGAATCTCATCTTTCCATAGAGTTTGAGTTCGTTTAGTTCGGTATTATGTGAAGAAAGTTATCTTTAATTTGGCAAACCATATACGTGCAGTACACATATGTAACAGTAGGTGGCTAGTGGTTTTGCAAGACAATTTACCGAACGATCAGAAAGTTTTAGATTGAGATAAAGGAGTTCGTGGAAAGATCTTGCTTCAACGAATCTTCAAGAACTGCTGGTTTGACAATCAGAGTTATATCGCATTCGAAAATTGATCTGCAAGTTGGCTCAGAATCATCAATGTCTGAGATTTTACAGGAAAACAGTTCCGCTGAAGGATTTTCAAGGTATCGTTTGGAGTGCTAAACAAAGTCTGACCGAGCTGATATTTGGTAGCAAGCATGGTGGCATATTGAATCAACGGTGGGATTCAGAACATAACGGTTAGTTTGGTACTTATGAATGTATTTTATGAAGCTAGTTGTTGCAGTTTAAAACAGTTGAATATGTCTGACGAGTTGTAATATTTGGATGGGCAAATGAGCTCGGTTAGAGCTAAAACTTGGTAGGGGTATTCTACACTCGTTGAGCTAGCTCTCACTTGAAGGAGAACCGATTTGAATATTAAAAACATGCGGAAACGTGTGTTTATATTTAAGGAAGAGGATCTGTAGTAAGAGTAAGAAATATAAAGCATTCATCGGCACGTGGCAAAAGTGAGGGCGTGATTTGTGAAAGTATAATTCATATTTATACTGTTTTGTTATATTATTTGTGACATGTAGGCTTAGATCTGATTTCTAGACTTAGGTTTCATAATGACATGCATTAGGATATGATATGATATGACATGTTAGATGATATGTGATGATAGCATGTATGATGATTGATGATAGCATGTAAAATGATTGATGGAAACACTATAAGTTAATGTTATGATGTTATGAGATATGTTATGATATTTTATGAATGGCTGACGAGCCCAAGTGGGAGTGACTGAGCTGAGGGCAGCCTCAACAATATGGGGGGGGGGGGGGGAGGGGTTTAAAAGCTATCATTAGGATAATGCCATCTACGAGATGTATAAAAACCTCCAGTGTATGGAAGTCTTGCTTTATTCGCAAGACGAATGATATGTGTTATAACATGATAAGAAATCGAGCTATATGATTGTTAGTGTCTAGGTTTGTGTGTTTTGATGAGTGTTATATAATAGTAGAAATGTTAATTATGTTTCAGTGGGAAGTGATGATATCCCTCATTGAATAATTCAGTACTCACCCCCTTTTTCCCTTTTTCAGTTGTGCAGGTTTGTTAAGATTAGCGTTCGAGACCAATGGATCAATAGGTTAAATTTTTCAAAATAAATGTTTTCAGAAGTACTAGATATTTTGGATATGTTAGCTGGGTTGGGACATCACATAAAAATTTTGAGAGTAAATGTTCTAAAATGACTCACTTCGGGAAAATATTGTCAAACATACACCCTTTTTTACAAATATTTTAAATACCAGCGCTATACTTCTACCCATTTAGATTTAATTATATTTATTTATTATGTTTACTTATTAAAATGGTTATTTACCATTTAACCCTAGCGCGTAGTAGTTCAACCCATGCAACGTCCCTGCTGGAAAGCAGAGACTACGCAGACTAACGCTGGAAGAAGAAGTATGGCAGATGAGAGGCACACCTAAGTCAATTTTAGATGATTAAAAATGCAGATCACTTCCTCTATAAGTGGAGGTTATTGGGTTTATATAAAGAAACAGATTTTGACAATATTTCTTGTATAATTGGGGGTTATTGGTTTATATAAAGAAAACAATGTGGAGACGTTAGACATGCATCTGGCAGACTGATGGCGAATATATATTCCTCCTGCAGGCGAGAAGCAGAGCCTGTGCAGACTCACTTCACCTTGCCACTATTATGATATCATGTGACGATTTGGCCAGTTGAAGTCATTTACGAGGTGCCGTAGTTCTTTTTCTCTCTCGGGTAAATGCCCTAAAAATGTTATATTGTCACCAGATAAACTCGGGTTGTGGGGACAAGAAGATGAGGGCAACCTATGTTTAACGAGACGCAGATGTTAGACAGGTGTCTGGCGGACTGATGGTGAACATATATTATTCCCGCAGGCGAGAAGCAGAGGCTGCATAGACTCACTTCATCTTTGACTACTATTATGATATCATGTGACGATTTGGCCAGTTGAACTCATTCAT